TAGATGATACAAGGTACTTGTATATTATGACCATGAGTTTTTATTGGTACGTGTACATCTTTCCCTCTAGTTACCCTGAGTAATCATGTTTCATTTACGCTAATGAGGTATTTGCCAGTTTACCTTTCTCATTTTTCTTTTCAGAGTTTTCTGCAAAAATATCTATCACCATAATCACTAGATTCTATATTCAAGTGCACAAATATCTGTAATTGTCTATGCCTTTTTAATTTTCTTAATGCAACAGAAATAATTTTCCCCTTAATTCCCTACTTTATTCATTATTTTCCCCTATCTAAGGTGTAAGTAGTATACTGACCTCTGCCATACTTGTCCCTATAGTACTGATCTCTGCCGTAGTCCTGCCGTGATCTGGGTCTATCCGTGTCTCTGTTGTAGTCGTGTCTGGATCTAGGTCGATCAGACTCTTGTCCTCCCTTGGAACTTGATCCATCATCATCAACTGTTGAAAATAATCATCATAATCACTTCAAATTCCGAAGTATATATTTTTAAATTTGATTCAAAATCTTATATTAGATTAATTTGATATTTGTTAGAATGAAAGAAAATTTCATACGGAGAGAGTGTCTTGATCTCGGTCGATCGTATCTCTCGTCTCCATAGTAAGGATCCCGTCTCCTCGACGGTGGCTGTCTGTCGTAATAGGGATCATAATCCCGCTCCTTTCCCCGGGATCTGTCACTTTTATAATTATCCCGATCTCTATCACGATAACCCTCACTCTCTCTTCTTCTTTCCTTATCCTCCATCCTCCTGGTTATCTCCAGTTCCCTGTCGATGGAGGAGCCCCGTTCGTGTCGATCTCTCTCTGAACCTCTCTGATGGGGTCTCTCCTGTCTGTTATCATACTGCTTACTTCCCTGCTTTGAGTCAGCAGCTGGCTTATCAGTCTGCTTTTCACTCATACTGTTGATCAACATTTGGACAGGAGACAGTACGTCCCTGCTGTCTTTGGTTGTTTTCGAGGGGGAGGTTTTTGTTGAAGACGTGGTACTTGAAGCAGGAGTGAGGATTGGTGTAATGGCAGGTGCTGCTGGAGCCAGCAGGATGTTAGCCACAGGCAGAGTATCATTGTTTGCCCAAAGTGTTGTGGCAGGAGACATGTTATGCTTTGCTCTTTGTTTCTGCACCTGTTGAAATGCCGATTCTATTCGTCGAGGGGACATCACACCACGAGTTGACCCCATAGGGGGTCGAGACTTTGTTGTGTCCCTTGGTGGCCGTTTGAATTTCTCATTCTCCTGTCCCTGCTTTGAAGAAGGAGATGTCAGTGACTCTCTAGAACTTGATATTTGGCTGGGAATACTGGGGCTGCTAGCCTTGACCTCTTTTTCAGATTTTGGCTGGTCCTCGGATTCACTGGACTGAGACGACAACGTGCGTCTCCTGTTTGGCGGCTGGAACGGACTTTCCTTTCGAGGCATGATTGGACTCTGTGGTTGTGTTTTCTGGGCTGCCCTCATTGAATCCTCTGAGCTGGCTACTATAGGGCTTGGCATCTGTGGATTATCAGACCTAGAAAAGGGCTGTGATATACTTTGTGCTTTTGTATCTGCTTTCTTTGAAGCATTTGCCTTATCTTTTCTAAATGGGTTGTTCTCACTAAGTGCCCCACTTGGTGGGGGACCAGCGGGAGGGGGAGGTTTATTTCCAGCCTCATCCTCTATTTTATTCTGGCCTGGAGAAACATTGGGAGATGATGTCAGCTGTGGCTGAAGGTGTTCTGTTGTGAGCTGTAAATTATCAACAGTGTTCTCCTTCTCTTGTTCTAAATGAGTGTTGTTTTGACCCTGAAGAAAAAAACCCAAAATATTGAAATATACAAAAACACATATTTGAAAACTTTAAATGCTGAAAAAGAAAAAAAAATTATCGATCTTTAAACTGTTTTAAAAACTTAAAATGCTGAAAGAAAAACAAATTTTATTGATCTTTAAACTTTTTTTTTTTCAAGCAGGACTTTAAATGTTTTTCGAAAGTTTTCCATATTTATTACCTGTTGAGATGACTCTGGAGTGTGTCTAGCTGAACCATCATCTGAGTTTTTCCCAGAACCAATAAAAAACTGCACATTATTGTCAAGAGACCCCTCACGACTGTGCTTAGTTTCTCCCCCAGGAACCTCCAACATCTGACTGGATTCTGGGGGCACCACTTCCCAGTCACTCAATCCATGCTGATCATCAGAATGGGGACTTCCTCCCGACACATTTTCAGACACATTACCTGTGCTGTTCACTTGTCCATGTATGGCTGACTGGTTCAGGTCATTTCCCTCAGGGGGATGCTGTGTGTTTGTCTCACTTTCTTTTAAATCTTCAAACTGTCCCTGGGTTGACATAGACATCTCCTGCATCTGATCAGTGACTTGCTGAACACTTGGAGTTGACACAGCATTGGCTGCTGTGTCCAGCGACCCTGTAGAATAATTCAAGGTTTGCAGGCTTTCGCCACTGATCTCTGGCTTAATCACATCCCCTGCATGCTTTTCTTCTTGCATTTGATTCAGTGAATTCTGAAGAGATGATTCTTGGAATGAACTATCATAAGTCCCAGTATTAGATTCTGTGTCATAATCATCATTCTGAAAAAATCCTGACATTCCCTGACTAGTGGATGACTGGTCCAACTTTTCAGAATCAACAGACTGGTCTGTATTTTGTTCATGATGCTGACCATCACTTAAAGGGTGACTATTTGTCCCCATGTTCTCACTATATTCATAACCTGTATAATTACCACCATACTCATTATAGTTTTGAGGAAAATTTCCTGATGGTGTTTCTATGTTAGATCCATTGAACTGCTGCTCTGGTTGCATATTACCTTGACTTGGGTCATAACCATGTGTCTGGTCATATTGTTCATAAAATACCCACTGTCCTTGATTATGGTCATAATACATTTGTCCCTGATGTCCATACATGTTTGGATTTTGGCCAAATTGACTTGGATCTTGTTGAGCATAATTCCAGTTCCAAGATGGATCATGCCCCATGTTGTAATTTTCTGGCTGTCCATTGAATGCCTCTTGTTGGTGTCCAGTATTTGCATCTTGTTGTGCAGGATCAAACTGACTTGGACCATTAGTCTGCTGTTGTGCTGGATCAAACTGACTTGGGCCATTGGTCTGCTCTGAGAACTGAGCTGGATTGAAAAGCTTGACTCCCCCTGGATCAGTATTCTGTTGCTGATAGCTCCAGGGAGCTGAGTGACTCATACTGTCAAATAACCATTAAAACAGGGTAAATGCACAAATAAAACAAGAGGCCCATGGGCCACATCGCTCACCTGAGAAGCTTTGACCATTCTGTTCTTTACCAGATTTCCCCCTTGTTATACATAATGCATCCCCACCCTACCCCACTGATCATAATTTAGACATTTTGAAATCTACACTACCCCATGATCCTTCCATGGGCATATATGTTTCAGCTTTTTTGGCCCAGTGGTTCCTGAGAAGAAGATTTTCAAAGATTTTTCCTATATATTTCTATGTAAAACTTTGATTCCCTATAATGGCCCGGCCCTTCCCCCAGGGGTCATGATTCCTACAATTTAGAATTTATACTACCCCAGACTGCTTCCACATAAGCTTCACTTTTTCTGGCCCAGTGGTTCTTCAGAAGAAGATTTTCAAAGATTTTTCCTCTATATTTCTATGTAAAACTTTGATTCCCCATTGTGGCCTCGCCCTTCCCCCAGGGGTCATGATGTGAACAATTTAGAATCTACACTATACTAGGATGCTTCCACATAAGTTTCAGCTTTTCTGGCCCAGTGGTTCTTGAGAAGAAGATTTTCAAAGATTTTTCCTATATATTTCTTTATAAAACTTTGATTCCCCATTGTGGCCCCGCCCTTCCCCCGGGGGTCATGATTTGAACAATTTAGAATCTACACTATACCAGGATGCTTCCACATAAGTTTCAGCTTTACTGGCCCAGTGGTTCTTGAGAAGAAGATTTTTTAATGACCCAACCCAATTTTTGTCTTTTCTTGATTATCTCCCCTTGCGAGGGGATATGTCCCTTCATTTTAACAATTTAAATTCCCTTTTACCCAAGGATGCTTTGTACCAAGTTTGGTCAAAATTGGCCCAGTGGTTCTTGAGAAGAAGTCAAAAATGTGAAAAGTTTACAGACGGACAGACAGACGGACAGACAGACAGACGGACGGACAGACAGACGGACGGACGACGGACAAAATGTGATCAGAAAAGCTCACTTGAGCCTTCAGCTCAGGTGAGCTAAAAATAGTCTTTAACTCGGATAAAGATGTGAAAACACTGTTTCTTTTGTTTGCACATTTCCTATCAAATAGCAAAACATTTAATGAAAATTACCAATGAGAGGTTTTGTAAACACGAATTCTGCAATTTCTTTGACATAGAACACACCATATACCGGTCTGGTACAATCACTAAATTTTAGCTATGTAGCTTAATTTACCTACTTAGTTTTATTTGCCTACCTGAGTTAGCTTTATTTAGAGCTACCAACTCAATTTATTTCTATAAAAAAGCATTTTTCTCAGGATGTGCAGAAAATCTCATTTTGATGCAGTGATCATTTTCAACCTTGAAATCATCTGAAAACAATTCATGTAAAAATCACTCTTGAAGAAATCTGCACAATTGCAATCAAAGTTCTGAAAGTTTTTGGGCTATGTATGACAATTAGATCAGTTACTTCTTGAATGAAATGACAAAGATGTCCAGTTCTGGTTAACACGATAATAGGTCGGTAATTATTCAGCACAGTGTGAAGTAATCATACTCAGCCATGCCTCACCGCACCTAATAGAGAGGACAGTTACCCAAACAATGGAATTACATGTTTTGTTCCAAATTGTCCAAACGCAGCAATGTATAAACTGTCTCTGCTTTGGATTGTTTTTTAAAACCCCCCTAGTATAAATATTAATAGCCATTTAATTGCGATTTTTTGTCTCTTTTTACTTAAAAGAAAAATTGTGAAAAATTGCATTGAAATAGCTAAATAAAGCTACCTGAGTTAGGTAAATAAAGCTACGTAGGTAATTCTACCTACGTAGCTAAATCTAGTGATTGTACTGGACCTGATATATTAACAGCTTATTTGCCTCATTGACAATATTATCAATAGCTTACTTATTTTATTATTTTTTTTTTAATCTCATCTTTTTTAAACTTTAGATTTTTTTAAACTTTGGATTTTTCACATTCAGGCAGTATAACCATTCTGTTAAAGTAAAGTGTTAACTCCCTTGGAATGTTCACTGATTCTGGTTCATGATTTTTATTCGAGTTGATTTGTTAACATATACCTATTACAATATAACAAATATAAAGTAATCAACAATAATATTTACATCGTATAACTGTCGCCATGATGCAAAATTGCCAAATACACACAGCTGTGACAGATGACTGGTATCTAATCTTTCTGTCAGGGTCGTTAAAAATAGGTAGAATACGTAACATTAAAGAGGAATATCTATAATAGATACTTCTACTTTTGAAAGGAAGATATTAAAGTTTGATTTAAAATGGTATACCTTATTTACAATTGCCTTATGTTCTAATCCAGACGTGGAAAGTTTACCGGAAGTTCACATAGAAAACAGGAAGTTGGCGTACTCAGTTTCTTAATCTTCAAAACGTTTTTGTTTAGGATAATGGAGATACAACATACAGTCTGAAAATTTACACTGAATCTTCCCCACGTCACCGAAACAGACGTCTCAACTAGGTCTAACATATTTCGTACCACGGTAGAGAGTGCAGTACTGGAGGAATTGGCTTGAAATATGGTGCTTATGACAACGATTGCGAGGGTGGCGGACGCCCTTCCATTGGCAGCGTCAATGCAGGAGGATGAACAGGTAAATATTTTTTCCACAATTTCTTCTAATGTTCTATATCCAAAAAAGACTCATGAACTGGTCTGATGATACTGTTGTGAATTCAGGAGTTTGATGTGGACAAATAGTTCTTAAGATGTGTCCCCTGTTTGTGAGGCCACTTCACTGCTGGTCATAATGGCATCTGTGCTCTGCCCTTTCCCTGGAACATGATCATCATGATACAACCTGGCATGTGCCTAGCTAGGTTGGGAACGCACCTGTCCAGTGACCACCAAATGGTGATTTCACCCCCATTTGGTTGTTGATCGCCAATATCAGTGGCGATATTTACTGATTATTTGGGAGAGAAAAATTGTATTGTAAAAATTGTTCATTTAGTGCATGATTTTACATATAGTGTGGAATAAAATACACAGACATTTATCTGTGCTCTGTATGAATAAATAGGGATGGGTATCGCCAAAAATTTCGCACCGCGATATATCACGATTTTTTCCCAAAATATCATGATAATATCATGATATTTTTACAATCAATTTTTACAATGATTTTTAATGAATTGTCATTATTTTTCTTAGAAATATGCTAGAAAAACAAAATTTCACTTTTTAAAAATTTTTATGTACATAAAATTAATCATGTTTGGATGGTAAGATGCTGTTCTTTGCACCTTTTACAACATTTTAAAGACTTTCTATAATTGAAATTTGAAAGATTGGACAAAGAAATGAATAATTTCTGGACTTTATAATATGTACTTAAATACCGGTATTTAGGTTTCCGTATCACGATATATCATGCAACAAAAAATCGTGATATATTGGTATACCGATAAAATCGCACATCCCTATGAATAATATGAGAAAATTTAATATTGCTCTGTTCTTTGTGTAGTGTTGTTAAAAACCCCACATAAACAAGTGCAACATATCACCATTTTAACATTTATAGAAGTAGTCTCTCCTTTCTGAACATTATTGCACTTGTCAATCGACTCGAGTTTCTTATTTTCTACGCAACTAGAAAGAGTGCGTTTGAATGAGAAACCAAGAACATCAGAGTTTTTTGTATGCATCATAGGATTGATCAGGTTGAAAAAAGATTTATGGAATGGTCCTAAAATGTACCAAGATAAAAATCTGGGCCCACACTTTTACATCGTATAGCACCATACATGTAAGACATGTGCATGATCAGTCCCTATCTAAATTAAATTTCTTAGTCCGTCAATCATTTTTGTGCATATTTACAAATGTTTTGCTTTGCTCTGTTAATGTAGGCCAGGACACAGCCCAAAGTGATTCCTGTAAAATTCTTTTTTTGTAGGGATAGTAACATATTAATTAAAAAGTATTTTAAATATACTGTGGATCACCAAATATTCACAAGACCTTAATTTTACGAGATTGTCATTTGGTCTTTACAAACAGGGCATAATTTTAAAAAATTGAATTTTAATTGATGCTGTAAAATCTTAACTTATATAAATAGACGAGAGAGTTTAATTTTCATGAGCACATGGTTGCGTATAATTACTTGAAAAGTTCTCCTGAATAAAACATGATTTACCTGAATAAAACATGATTAACAGTAGCATTAGGAAAAGTCAGGCATCCTAGATGACTGCCTATACTTTAGATAGGACTCCAGGTCATATTGATGGGATGGCAAGAGAGTGCCCTAGAATTAAGATGCAGTTACAGTATCCCATAATTCTTAAATATCTACTGTTATTTATACCATGATTACAGTGAATAAAGCAATAAAGTTCCAGCGAGGAAGGGGGAAAAATATATAATTGTATATAATTACATATTTCCTTTATGTATGCCAAATCACATCTTTATCTTTTGCACTTTGTCATGTCAAAATACAAGTGTGTATAATTTTTATGTTTCACCAATGCATGAAAGATAATTAGTCAGTTGAATTGCTTCCCAGAATTATATACAGTCACATACTTGGAATAGTACTGGGTGTTTCAACAAACATGTTTTGGATGTCTGTATTTTTGTACAGCAAGAAAATATTTACAAAAGAAGTATTCAGAAGAGGAGCATTTTTTGTTGGAAAGTTTTTTTTTTACATTGTGTCTGAATCAAAGCAGTTTGGAATCAGACAAAATAAGGCTGGTAAATGACAAACATAGCAGTCTTTAGGAACACATTACACCATGATGCTAAACTGAGAAATGCTTGTAAAATTTCCATTTATAAATACGTGTTCTGCCTAACTTTTTTGGAATTCACAACGGCGGGACTTGTTTGCTAGAATACTTACATTCATACTAACCATTTAGAGTATATTTTCTGGTGAAATTTATATTGAGATTTCACTTTCTTTATAAGCTCTAGTCAATGCAGTAGCAAGAAATTTTTTTTGTAGAAATCGAATACATGAGCATGTCCAACAGCACAGTAGCATAATAAAAGAAAGACTTGAACCTCTGAACATGTGTGTCAGAGTTAAGATTAAAAAAAAAAGATAGAATTACATGTACATCAACTTCTATAGAAAATTTTCACCTATTGCTAAAATTAAGTATTTTCTTTATGTAATACAGCAAGGGAGAGACTTGATGGAATATCAGAACCAAGCTAAACAGTTGTTTAGGAAGCTGTCTCAAGATCCACAGCCCCCAGCAAGGTGTAGTCTAGAAACTGGACCATTTATATTTCAGTAAGTTCAGCTTAAATGTTTTATGATTTTTTTAACCTTTACGAGAGGATGATTACTTTAAACATTATATGTATGTTAATACATGTAGTATCAATGAAAGCTACTGGTAGCTAATAGCTATCAACTGTTGATTTTTGATCCATAAAACAATGTTTGGATAGATGAAAATACCAGCTTTGAAGAAAGAGACACAGGGTTGAAGATTCTTTAAATAATTTGCATGTACTAATTAAGTCACATTAACAGACCTAGACAATTCACTAATCTATGGGTCAATAAATTGAATACCATGTACATGTATTACTTATTTTAAACCCCTTAAAATAATTGTTTATGTCCATTGTTTGATTCATAACTCTGTATTAACACCCCTATATACGACTAGTTATTTAGAACAATAACATAATACTGTATAGTTTCATTTTTTTTCCACATATGTTATTGCATTCTGTAAGGTTCTGCATACAGTGTTCCCATTTTCAGTTATGTGATAGAGAGAGGGGTTTGTTTCTTGGCGCTGTGTGAGCAGTCATTTTCAAAGAGACTGGCGTTTTCCTTCTTAGAAGATTTACAGACTGAGTTTACTTCCCATTATGGACAGAAAGTGGATTCTGTTTCCAGGCCGTATAGTTTTATAGAATTTGGTAAGTCTTACATCATTGTTTCGATACAACATAAAATTTGTGTAACTATTGTCTGAAGCATACACATGTAGTATACAAACATATTTCTATATTTTTAAAAGATGCATTGAATGTGTAGTTAACATGTTGGAATTTCACATGACTGACATGTATACACTTGCCTTTTTTTACCATTCTGTAAATAAGATGCTTTATTATTGCACTTTTATCACAGATTCTTACATAAAGAAATCAAGGAAGAGTTACATGGATTCCCGAGCGAGGAAGAACCTGAGTAACATTAACTCGGAGTTACAAGACGTACACAGGATCATGGTACAGAATATAGAGGACGTCTTGTTAAGGGGAGAGAACTTGTCTGGTAAGACATTTACTCATTAACAGTATCAATGTATTTCTACTGCCTGAAGGCTGAAATATTAACAAAAGCATATCAAGTCAGTAGCTCAAACAGCAACTTTTGAATTAATAAAAACTAATACAAGGGTCCTTTACCCCCACCCCACAAAAATAACTTTACCAATTGTTACCTAACCAAGTAAACCAACCAATGTCAGAGACATCAAAGTGTGAAACCCATGCACTCACTTATCACTCACTTATCACTAATCACTGTCTCAAATCACCAAACATGTCAAAATTACTTACTACAATACTAGTACATTTACTTCACATACATCACATTTCTTGGGAACAGGTGTGTTCAGACAGCAATGAATTTGGTGCAAAGATTAGCTATACTCAAAAAAAGAATACTAATTATACCCCCCGCAAACGAAGTTTAGGGGGGGTATATTGGAATCACCATGTCCGTCTGTCCGTCCGTCCGTCTGTCTGTCTGTAGACGAGATTTTGTCCGGACCATTACTCAGAAACTATTGGAAGGATTTGTCTGAAAATTTGTACACATATTATTCACCATATGAAGTTGTGCACCTGATATTTTCATCTTGATTGGATTATTATTTTGAATTTTACAGGTGTTTTTTCATTTTTATTTTGTGGTTTTGTCTGGACCGTTTCTCAGAAACTATTGCAAGGATTAATCTGAAAATTTGTACACTTATTATTCACCATATGAAGGTGTGCACCTGGAATTTTGAACTCTTTTTGTTAATTTTTTTGCATTTTACAGGTTTTATTTTTTATTTTAATTGACTTGTTCATTTTGGGCTCATGTATAAGGTTTGAGATATAGAATCTAGAATATCTGTTCAAAAATACTACAGCTTAAAACTACTCATAAAAACTTAAAAAAAAGAAACATCATCAAGTGTTAAAAACAGTTTTTACACTGCACAGAAGATAATGTAATTTCATTTGTCTCTTGGGAATAATGACTGGACATGCATCCAGTTAAAGATAAATTAATGAGTTTGGTATTGGAAGTTGTTAAGGCATATCTCTTATCAAGCGTGTGTGTTATCTAATCTCCAGGGAATAAGGCACAAGAATTAAAGATCTCTCTTCTCTTATTCTCTTAATTGTAATTTATTGTCTGTCAAAGCACTTCATTACTGGATAACCAGCTCTTTATTTTCAAAATGCATTTCAAATTGATATATCAAGATTAATTTGATTTTGTATAATGGTTTTTTTTCAACAATCAGTTTGCAGAGTGACATAACACATACCCGGGGTAATTGCAATATACATTGTATTTTTTTAATGCAGAAATAAAAAAAAATAAAATGAAAAAAAAAAAAAAATAATGTTACAATGGAATTAAATTGTATTAGTATTGATGTTTCATTTGGTTGCATCTTTGTTTCATTCATTAAGAAACATGATGAGCAATAATATTTCACTGCAAATATTTGTAAGTAAATTGTGAACACCTCTAGATCCATACAGTATTTTTGAATTGGCACCTTCTCTGAAAAACCCAGAGGGGGGTATTTGTCCCTACTGGACAGTTCTAGTTTCTCTTTTCTTTTACTTTTGTTGCTTGTTTTCATTTTACTTTCTTTGTAAGACTTTTGATGTCATGAGATTGTTCGTAACATAGAGATTACTTTTCCTATCATTGTAGAACTTGACAGTAAAGCCAGTAATCTGTCTGTGATGTCACAGAAATATAGGAAAGATGCTCGATACCTAAATCTGCGATCAACCTACGCCAAAATCGCGGCCATAGTCATTGTCATCATCGTGCTCCTGCTGTTTTTGAGGTACATGATCTGGTGATGAAAAATACAAAGACGTTAGGGAAGTTTAAAAAGTGCTGTAAAAACAAGCATCTAGTCTACCCTTAATATGCAACACACCCCAGGTTCATGGAGTTGGGAAATAATTAAGTTAATGTGCATTGTATTATTGTTATGAGGGTTTAAAATGGTGTTGCTTGGAAGTACATGTACCAAAAGAATCAATTTGTGAAAAAGATATTTTTCATCTAGACTGTTTACATGTCAATATTAGATGAAAAACAGATTCAAGGGATTCATGTATGTTAATAGTGTGTTTGAAGTCTTTATTCAAATTTTACTTTTCAATGTTTTCATGTGTTCAAAGCATTCAGTTGTGCTTTAGTGGGAGGATATGTGCTAACATTAGGCTGTGTGAACATGCATGTTTTAATGAATGACAAGAGTAATAGTATACTGTACCTTTAAGTTTTTGTTTTCATCATTTCATCTGCTGAGGTTGTATAGTACTGGGTATAATTATATGTTCACAGGGTTGTCCCTAAGAATTAAAATAGAGGGGGACATTTAACAAGTAGAAGGGGATCTAGGGTTCCTTCCCAAATGGGGAGTTAAGGAGAAATGTTTAAATAACTAGGGGATTACATCACTATAGGTGGGAAAAATCCCCAGTCCTCGGGTCTTAGGGACAACCCTGAATGTTCTGTCATTATGTGAGTATGAATCACAAGAAGAGATAGTGATGACTGAATTGTACATATGGAGCTGGACATTACATAACTGAGGTGGACTTTTTCAAGTCCATTCCATTTTCATGTTTGAAAAGCTTATATACTGAATATCACCAAATATTTGCCATGCCTTATTTTTGTGAGCTTGTCATTTGCTATTTTGAAATTACACATAAATATATTTCTACTGATAAAAATAAATGCGAGAATTGATTTTTCGCGAGTAGAGATGATCTTAAAAAAAATTTAAGTTCTGATGAATACAAAAAGATTTATAGGGCTCCAATCGTTAGATATTTTAGGGCATGAACATTAACATTTTTATTAGTGTTTTTCATACATACATGTATGTTTATTTATTAGAGATGAAATGTTCTGTAAGATTTGGATGAGTGCTTGGTGTGTATGTGTCTTTATATGTCACTTTATGACTTGTTGAATATACATTGAATTTCATGACTTTGTTATAATTGGATTAAACTAATTCTACAATATTATGGAGTTAAATTATTTCTTTTACAGATCAGGCTAATCACCATATATAGTTACATCTTGTCAAGTTATCTTGCAGTCCAATTTATTACAGTGGTTTCTGACCTCCATCCCCCACCATTGAAAATGGAAGAAAATCTCAAAAGATTTTGAAGAAATAAATGTTAAGATATAATAGTATGATACTTTGGTATTTGGATCATGGAGTCAGAATTTGACCACCTTCTCCCTTCTTTAGCCAAGTTCTTTGTTGTCCCTTCCAGTCCTTAACAACCTTTACTGATCTCCAAACATATTTAAAAACCCAGATATCAGTAAAATTTCCTAAGCCCGGCCTTATTCACTTCTTCCTGTGCCAAGATTTAATGTTTTCTTCCTAAACTCAGACATTTGTTGTTTATCATCCCTTTTGAGAATTTTTCTTTGGTATGGAGACACCAAAAACGTAATTAATATCCTCCTGATCCCAGTTCTAAGACCTTTCTTAATTAATTAACTGAGACCTCGGTCACCCCTTCTATCGCCAAGACCTATGTTGCTGCTTTCTTAGGCCAGGCATTAATCAGCCCTGTCTGAGCTTAAATCCTGGACTCCTCCCTTATCCTTGCCTTTATTAACCCTCTCCTGAGCCTTTATACCTTAGTCAACCCTTCATAAGCCTTGTCTGACCTTAGGAATTTTTCATCCCTTCCAATGCCACATCTTAATGAACTCATCTTGAGCTTTGACATTAATCAGCTTGTACATGTTGTAATTCATTACTTTTTGAGCTCTGACTTATTTCATACTTTTTTATGCCCAGATCATAACCAGTCCTTCCTGATCCAAGACTTTTAAACACATCCCTTTTTGAGCTATGACCTTTATCAGTCCTTCTTGAGCCCCAGACCTTCTTGAACGCTTATCTTTTCTATATATAAAATGCGAGGATAACGAACTGCATTCAAACAAAAATCTATTACAATACAAATGGGGAGCAGAGCAGACACGAACATATGAGGTAGGATCAGATGCAGTGGAGAAGTAAGCATACCCTGTCCACCGTTCACACCTGCTATGTGCTCCTTGTCATGATCGCGGGAATGGAAAAATCCACGGACAATTCAGTGTGTAAATAATTACCTAACAATTGTATAAAAAAAGTCAGTCAGCGTGCGACTTATTTAAATTTATGATTAACCCGATGTGCTCAAAAGGTCATTGTATTGACCATAGAATATACAAAATGCTTACTTTTCCCAAGACTGTTGGAATGCTTGGTGGATCAACTTTTTTGTCAATAATATGTCCCGTATTTGAGATTGTTCATACGTAGAGCATTCTCTTGAGTATCAAAGACATATTTAAACTTAATATGCGCGTGATAAGGGTTATATTGCCACATAGAAAAGGAAAGTTGACGCACAAAAAAGTTGAAGTCATCAGGTTTATTATAAAATTTGTGAGCTTGGTCATCATTAACATCTTTTCTAGTAAAATATATCCAGGTATGAAACAGATGTGTCCTGTGGTGGTATATTTCTGCCCCATACATGCAAGATAAATTATGTCAACATGCAAGATAATGTGTCAAACTCTGAACACATAGTATTTTTTGTTTCAAGTTCAATGGGATATATCAAGTCAATAAATGGAAGTAACTATTCTTAATTGATAATATGCCTTTGATAAATCGAATTGTCGAGTTGAAGGCCACAGCAAGTGTTTTCTTCTTCTTGGGTATAATGTTTCAAAAAATAAATTCTGCTTCAAATGAATGCAAAAATAAGTCTGCTAAAAACAGGGCACAATTGACTGTGAGATTGTTGGAAGACTTGATTTCCCACATGACATAGTTATTGTCAGTCAGAAACTCAGACACCTTTTTAAAATACAGTATCAACTTCCTAGTACTTTTGTGTAAAATCGAAAAAAAATCATAAAATAATTTGGCAAAAGACCAACTAGGTAAGTAAACCGAGTTCTATTTTTATTGAAAATGCAGCTGTCAATGATGTCAGAAAGCCCGGACTTTAATTTATCGTGGGAAGTGGTGCAAAAATGTTGAAAATTTTCTTGATTTTGTAAAATTTTGCGATTTCAAATTTTCTACAAGTTCATTGGAGTTTTCGAATACCTAAATCTGATTTACACCACTTTTCGAATATATTATTGTACAGTACTCCTGAAGTTTCTCTGCTGCTGTTAATATTCTAGTGAGAAGAAAAGAAAGAGGCTTGTAAAACATTTACTAGAATCTGCTTGTTTGAAAAGAATTTTATGTAGTTAAGGAATCCAGTATAAGTATTGTAATTCAAATTTAACTTGAGTGTTAGCAAGATAGAATATATTTTTAAAACTGATGATGCTTAAAAGAATTTCATCCTTGAAGGAGGAGCCATGGGTAAATGTTGCATTTTCATAAATAGCCGAATGATATCCCAACTCCTTTAGAATATAACAAACACAGTGATGTCGTTAGTCCGGACTATGTTGTCGTCTACTTTGTCCGTGGGATGAAACGAACGGGAAGGCGTATGTGAGCAATGGTAAGAATTTAAGAAAATACATTTTTATGAAAAAGTTTGGTCAATTCTTCTCTGAGGAACGTGATTCAATGTTTAATAAAATTTTTCGATCAGGAAGAACTGTCAAGGTGGCAATGCCAAAAGGAGGCCTCGATCGCTGTTTATTTTTTAGCAGTATTATTTACAGATAATGGTTTTAACCGATGATCTCTTTTTTTCAGTTGAAATTTATAACAAGACAAATAATTTAATTTCTAACAATGAAAACAATTTAATCTATAATTCTATTCTTTCTTGCCCCCCCCCTTCCGTGTATGTGTGTGTGAGAGAGAGGGAGGATGTGTAAAAGAGGGTGTGTGTGTCTGCATCCTATAAAAAGGACAAACGAGTTTCTTTTAAAAAATGAATTCTCGAACGCCCTGCATATATACAAATATTTATTCAATTCTGCAAATTTGTTTTTAAAAAGTCTATAAACCGCATTAAGATGCTCATAGCTAGGTGCATTTAACACCAATTACCAGTCCATGAACAAAACTCAATGAACATTGAAATTTTAATTGCACATTTATTCATTCACACTGCTCCGAAAGAATCCAGAGAGAGAGAGAGAGAGAGAGAAAGAGTTGGAGGATTTTTAATGGTGATAATATACTGAAAAAGTTTGTATATCCTCATTCCACCCTAACCTCCACAGCTGGGTGAGAGAACTGAATAAATTTTCTAAAAGTTCAAATAAAATGTTTTAAAGAGGAATGGCTATCTATTTGTGGCAGATTATAGCTAGAGTACTTAACATCACATCCGTTACACTCACTTTCCATTGCACAATACAATTAATGAAAGTAAACTGGAAATCCATATCTTATATTGAGTTCATGTCCGGAAGCTTTGGTAGTGAAAGTCCACAAAATAACAGAGGAGCGTCGAGTTTGATGTCTTTTAAATTCCTTACACCTATCGTCTGTTTAAATCACATATCGGGTTTCCCTGTCGTGTGGCCCCGGATTGTGTTTAGGTTAAATTTTCTTCCTGGTCTATCTTTGTCAGTTGAAATGTACTTCGTTAGAATTTCGGACATAATATAAAAGTCAACAGAGGTCTGTAATTTTTCCTGTCCCATCTGGAAATAATATCAGAAGCTGGACAATTGGTCTCTACTGAGGTAAGTGAAATATCTGGGGGAGGGAGAGGGGGATGGTACCTCTCATACCGTCTCTGGTCACTGTGTTTATGTCTCTCGGATAACTTATGTCCATCTCACAGGTCGCAAAAATCTCTGAATAACCAAGACATGTTTAGAAAATGTTTATTTTAAACAGTGTATACAGTTTTTCAAGTTTTAACCACTTTCCTATTCTGTGCTATTGATGTCTCTTTGATATACGCAATGTGCATATCTGTTTAAGATATATATACATGTGACCTACTTACAATGTAAATCCGTTATGAAACAGCGTGTTGACAGCATTCAGTATTATATGTGTCTTATCTTATACATGCCTGTAGACTTTGAATATTTTTATACTTGATTCATTTGACAATTTGTAAAATTAATTTTTTTTTTTTAAAAAAGCGTAATGATATATGGTAGAAATGTGAAAAATACACTGTACTAGTATTTATCCAATGGTATTTTTTTTTATTTTACACGATTTGGATTCGGCAGGACAACATGCAGAAGTTTTTATAATAACAGTGAACATAGAAACATAAATTAGCATGAAGGAATTTCATACTAATTTACCGAAAATACGTGAGGTACTATTTGATTTAACATCATCATTTAAGGCATCAAGTATTAAAAAAAAATCATAATCAAACGGAAATTATTGTCACTCAAAGTCTGCCCATTGTACGTGACGTCCTTGTGTTTCCGATGTTACCGGCGTTATTAGGATCGAGTATTTCCGACGATCCAATGCCTCCTGGCCTTCAAGGGATGGTCCATTCAGGTTCTTATTAAAGTAACTTCAAAGTCACTTTATTATTAATTAGGTTCAGGCACGTAGCATCGTTTTTGAAAGTGAGGGGGGGGGGGACGGTCAGAGAAAATTTTTTGTTACTTACCTGAAAAAGTTGACAAGCAAAAAAAAAAAACAAAACAAAACAGGGGGGGGGGGGAAGTTACTCAAATTCGAAAATCCTATTTCGTGGGGGAAAGGGGGGGGGGTGTAGAGGCTAACTTTTTCAAAATCAGGAAAATGTCAACTACTGTCAGTACCAATTCCTAGACTATATTTTCCGTGCATAACTAATAGTGGGGGGGGGGGGGGGCAACCAGACTTTTAATTAACATTTCCTCTAGTATAAGTAAGGTTTGGGAAAAAAGTGGGGGGGGGGGCAGGCCCCCTGTTGCTACGTCCCTGAGGTTTGCAGATGTATTGTACGATTTTCCATTACAACTCCTGTCCTTCGTAACATCCACAACACATGCAGTGCACATGTACTAGTATCCCCCTTTTTTGTAACATGATAGGTTACTCAAATCAAAGTGTTTCCTTACAGAATTAAGAAGGATCTTCTCTTCCCTCTGACAATTAAGTTGAAATCAAATCTGAACGTCCCTGAATGCGGACATAACGGAATCACAATGAGCTATACGTGTTATATAACAAAATACAGGAAAATATTCTAAAATGTCAAGTAGATTCAGGCTGTAAATGGCCATATTAAAATATAAATTTGTTAAAAAGGAGGTCAGAGTAGAAAATTAGTATCTCTTGTCCAATATGGCGCCCCGTTCGAGTCGAGGTGAAGCACCAGTGAGAAATACTCTTGTACAGAATCTGAGAATGACGATGTAGCAGTCGTAATTATCCTATGTCAGAAAGATAAAAATGAAGAGACCGAGTCGACCACAAGCATATAAACTTAATTAAAACCATCTCTTTTAACTTATTATTTTTTTTTGAAACACCGATGCCCCCGTATGACAGCTCATGTGATGGTGAAAGTTAAAATTTGTTCACATGCCAACTCCGAGGTCAAGGTCAAGAGAAGAAAAAATGCTAGTAGCTAAAAAGATCGGTACTCAAGGAAAGGTACATGTATTGTCCTATGGAATAAACATTGGAAATATGAATCACTTGCACCAAGTTTTTAAAAGTAATGACCAAGGTTAAAGTTTTCAAAAAATGTGGATCAAAATCTAAGGTCAAAGTTAAAGGCCTATCAAAATCAATATAAATAAAAAATTATGGCTAAGTTAAACGGTAAAACTTTGCAAAAGACTGTAAAACTAGGTTTGGTAAAAAGTAATTTACAAATGAATGAGATGTATTTGTGAAACAATGATGCCTCCGTATGGCAGCTTAGAGCAAGGTTTGAAGTTTCTCAAATGCAAGTCAAAATTATTGGTATCCCCCCCCCCCCAAAAAAAAAGTCTTGTCACAAAGAATACAACTGTGAAATATGAAAGCCCTAGTAATGATGTTTCAAAAGTTATGAACAGGTACAAAAACTTAAACCTTAATCCCATACCTTTTGGTTGGTTCTAGTTATGGCTTGATGATAATAATAAACGTATACAGTACCAGTAAATTAATCCATATTTATTATACTGATTTACAAAAAAACCGGCACATGTTTCTGAGCCTTAATTAAATCTAACTACGAAATTAATTAAATATAGAGAAAAGAAATCTTTGACAGTATATTTCGGTATACATGAGCATGTCAGTGGTCAACCAGATTAACAATCATGGAAAATCTCTCACTCTGCTAGCACCACAGGGAGAAGTCAAATAGAAAGAGGCCATAGTCCGAACAAATATATTCATTTCTCTGAAAAACAAAACAAAACAACACCATATATCTATTATCCCTAATGAAGAGTCACAAAATACATGTATACTGTTTAGTTTGAAATTCTTTTTTCTTTCCAGATCATGATATAAAAAATGGCAGCCCTCGCTATGAGTGGAGCGCCTCCACCGTTACCTAGCAGGGCAGGGCGACCAGACCCACCATCAGTTAGCACCCTCCCTCGTAGGGGTCCCACCAGCGCATCCCGACCACAGTCCGCTCAGTCGCCCAGGAGCCGACGAGGGTCATCCGATGACTTACCCCCACCCCCGCCAAGAAATAGACATGACCCCCTCCCACCTGTTCCTCCCTCCATTGCAAATATACCCATCCCCCAAGTTAACCAAAGACCTAGTTCAAGTACTTTACCGAGAAATTCACGAAGTGAATCAAACCTTCAGAGTCAGGATGCCCCTCCCAGACTCCCCCCTCGAAGGGGTACTTCCTTCCACGGCTCACATTCCCCCAGTGTAAGGCACAACCTAACCAATGGCGCCATTCCAGCTCCCATCCAAGAGAGTCAAGGTACGTACGTTAGAATATATTTTAGAAATGAATTTATTTTTGAAAATTCACGAAGTCTTGAACTGTACGATGCTACATGTCGGCCTGCCACTTGGGAAATATTCAGGTTTGTACAGAAACGTTCATTTACATATACCTCCTGAATGTTCAAATAGAAGATTTGCTCATTTGAAACTATGAGTAGGACAAAAGGTGTCCATCAACTTTAAAATAATCACAAGTGGGGTATTTTATTTATGATTGTAATACACATAAGAAAACGAGAAATGATTTATCTGAAATTCTTGTTAACCCTGTTGAAATGTCATTTTTCCCGCTTGTGATAATAACCACAGTTTTTTTTTTTAAATTTGGTACTGTATTGCTGTGAGGAGCGGATAAAACCTGTTGACATTAAATATTTATTGCAGCATAAATCAATCAGAGATTAATTAAAGATTTCATTTAAAGCTCATATTAAATTTGTATTTCTTATTTTTTTTTTTTATTCAACCAATTGAAAAAAAACTTGAAATTCCTTTTATTTTAAGACCTGCAATCAAATTATTGACAAAGATATAGAATCAAACATGCATTCAACGAGAGACGTTCAATAAGTAATGGCACCTGATGTAAACCCTCCTCCTTTTTTTCAATTTTTTTAAATAGATACGATAACTTAAAAATATACACGAATTCCTTCTATGTTGTATCAATACTTCGATATTTTATATGTTATATTTGACGATTTTTCTCTTCAGTAGGGAAATAAGACACTCATCTGATAGGAATATTTTTAGTTTTATTTCCTTTTGTATGTGAACTCTAAATATTCTGTTGTGATGATGAATGATGATGAAATGTTAAGTGTTTATCAATGTAAATCTGACATAAATTTTCAGATATAATGTTGCTCACATCTCACTTTGTATTTTTGGTATCCCTGTAGATTTTAATCAATCAATGCAACTCTTTTTGTTAGTTTTAAATTTCTTAATACATCTGACTGGAACTTTTCTACTCTGAAATTTTCTACATTTTATGATAAACAGTACAAGTATGTTGCTTAATAATTGAGTAATCCTGTATTTGATTCACGTTTAGTTCAGTTTATTATTAATGAAACAAGGAAGTTGAATAACTGCTGTCTATACTTAAAATCGCTATATAGTTAAAAATATAGCTAACTCATAAAATGTTTCATTAAGTTTTCGCATTTTCCGAGACTCATGAAAGCAACTTAATCATATAAATAGAAAAAGGACGATTCGGGTTTAACTTTTTTTGGTTTTTTTTTTTTTGTACTGCAAGTGGCTTCATAAAAATATACATGACGATTAATTGTTATAAAATAAATGTACCATGATCGCCTCCAGCTTTTACATGCATCTATACGTGATTTGTCTCATTAATAAAATGAATTATTGTGCACACCAAGAGTTGAGATTTGTTGACGTTTTCTTGCATTTTCTTTGTCACATCTGCATTTGCATGGATACTTATACATGAACCGAAAACTTATACCTGCAAGGAATATGTATTTTTAAACATAAACAATTAACTGTTGCAAATCAAAAGAAATGTTTTTAAAAGATTTTTGGGGGAGAGGAGTAGGGGGATTCGTTATTTGGACTATAACACTCTGTATGACAGCTAACCATAGTCTGGTCTTGTAAACAATTGAACCGCAGGGGCATCATATCCACTCTGTTCTCTACTCCACTTATGTGGAGTAGAGGACAGAGTGGATAAGATGCCCCTGTGATTGAACATTTTCAAAAAGAAAAAAATACATGCACGTTGATGACAAAAAAATCCCCTTAAAAATAGATGTATGGTAATCATAAATGAACATACATGTACTGAGTATATGATACAGCATTCAACATCAAAAGAGCTATACATTTTATCTTGTCTAATGTCTATCTTTCCCTTTTTCTTGAGTTTCCGCTCCAAGTAGATTAGTAATACACACTAAAGTATTATGTAAATATTAAGGACAGATGATGCAAACAAACTTTTGTCAAAAATGTTTAAATTGAATGAGTTTCACCGCGTAGTCTCTAATTTTTTATTCAAAGTTGAACAAAAATGGAATTTGAAGTGAAAAATATTTGCATAGAAAAATAAGGATGGTTTCAAAAGGGTAAAATTTTGAATATCACAAAATGTTTACAATTTCTTTACATTCCAGAAAGTTATTTTTTTCCATTATTTGCAATGACATTAGGTCAAAAAAATAGATACCAATCCAGGCATCCATTTTTTTTGTTTGTATTATCTTTCCTAAAAGTGAAATCATTGAATCCTTGTTATATTTTAGATCTCGAGTCTCGCTTTATGTTCCATGATGTCAACGAATTACCAGCCCCTCCAGAATTTAAGGCTGTGAAGAAAAAGTATTCAAGTCAAGGTAAAAACTTGAACACCTATTTTGAAGGAAACATATTTTACGTCACAAAATGAAAATTTTGCTAAACAAGAAGATCCACTTCTTTCATCTGTGAAAAAAGCACAGAGATACTTTAAAATAGTACATGTATGACAAAAGTTACCAGGAAATGAACAATCTGTAAAATTTGGGGGTGCACAGATTAACATTGTAGTTGTTTTTTTTTTCACATCGATCATATCGATGTTTCGTTACCTCTTGCATGTGCATAGGCATCGGAAGCAATTTGAAAGTGGGGGGGGGGGGGGGGGGGGGGCGCGGGGTAAATGAAAGGGGGGACAAAACCTAGAAAAGGTAAATGAAAAGGGGGACTAAACTTAGAAAAAAAGATAAACCCCAATTTTCATTACATATATTATGTATATCTTTGCAAAAAAGTGGGGGGGGGGAGGGTGCTCACCCCCCCCCCCCCCCCCCCCCCCGACGCCTATGAGCTGAAACTTCTACATGTACATGTATACACAAGATTAAAGAAAGATAGCAAACTCTAAGTTTAGGATCACTATTATGGCGTGGATATGAAAAATATCTGGTTTTTACCCTGTTAGGAAAACGAGCTTTTATCAATAAGAGTGGCAGGAACAATTTCTTTTGCAGAGTTATGTGTAACAAACGAGAATAATTCTTATCAATAATATGCAGAACATTCACGTCCTTAGGATTCTAAGGCCAAAAGGAAGATATCAAGCTTTATTTCATAAAACATTCGAAATAATTATAGGTCCTTTGGTCTAGATCACATACCTTCTGATGATTAGACAATATTATATTACGAACTTCCTTTTACAACACCAAAATGTCTCACTAATATGTTTGCTTTCAATATCTCTTCAATATAATGAACTATCAAGTTGATATGTTTTTCCAAATATCTAATTAGGTGGTAAGTACTTGATTTTAAATTAACAAGGAAAAACATAGATAAAAACTAATGATTTAATGAATATGCATAATTTTTCCTCAATATATTTTCTAGAATATGAGAGGCATAAGCGACAGAAAAGAACACCGGAACCCAGGTATGACTGACATTGGATCCGCGCCTTAGTGAAGCATGAAAGCAACCTCTATAAAACGTACAGAAAATACTTGTATGCAGATACAATATTTCTATGACTACATTGGATGAGTGGAATTTATTGTAATAAACGGGACCATCACTTTCAGATGTAGCATTATAGTTATTTTGAATAACTGCTCGACACTGTTATGGTGGTGAAATAATTTATTTAATTTTAACGCTGTAAAGATGCTTTTTATTGCTAGAATATCATTTTAGTTGCCCGACACGTGCTTGATTGAAAAGTACGAATGTGCAAGTGAATAACATGTGATGTATGTTTTTATACATATTTATAAAATTTTATATATTTATACGAAAATCAAGCAATAAAAACAAATGTTGACAGATCACAGTAATAGTTCATCATTTTTGAAGTAGATATTCTACTAAGTGACAATTATGAGGGTACCTGTAAAGTGCGAAACGAAATAGAAACGAAACGAAACGAAACGAACTGAAACGAAACGAAATCTGCCGAAACGAAACGAAATCTACCGAAACGAAACGAAACCTACCGAAACGAAACGAAATCAAGACGAAACGAAACGAAATCAAAACGAAACCTGCCGAAACGAAACGAAACAAACCTTTCAGAATGTTTATATGGTCTATTTTTACTTCATATGAAATTTATATAGTTCAAGCACCACAGGCAATTGTTTCGCTTCAAGTTCCTACATAGGCGTCGGAAGGAAATTGAAAGTTGTGGGGGGGGGGGGGCTTAACCAACAAAAAAGGTAAACCCAGTTTTCAATGCCTATGTAATATTATATATTTTCAAGATAGTAAGGATTGAGGCTAAACCCCCCCCCCCTCCCCGCCGCTTCCGACACCTATGTTATATTTTGTTAATATCTTACTGAATAATTTACCTACTTAAAAGTGATATCGTTCGCTTAGAGAGACTTTTTACTTGTCAGTTAAATCGTTTAAGACGTCTATGGTCGAGCCTCTTTATTGCAAACCACTCCTTTCCTCCTCCAAAATTACCTCGATAAAAATAGGACCGTATGTACGTGTAGAAAGGATACACAAGATTTCGGTTGGAGTTACATGTATAATCTGATTGAACAAAAAACCAGACACCTTGGAATGGAATAATAAATACTCTAAGTCTCTGGTTTATCCTATGTTTTAAGACATTCGCAATACAACAGTACAGTGACTTTATTTCGACCCGTACATAAACGAGCCTTTACATGTATAACACATCAATGTTGATAGATATGTTGAATCTGGATAAATAAGGACTGAAAATAAGAGTAAGATATAAAAATTAGAAAATAATGCACATATTGAAACTATACATGCATAGTACGCTCGTGTATATTTGCAGCTTGCAAACATGTAAATGCATCATTAGACTGAGAAGGGAGCATAATTTATCGGTAATTAAATTTTATATTAACAAGTGCTTGAAGTATATGAATTTTATTTGAAGTAAAAAAAATCCACATGTAGTTACACATTTATAATTATATACATGTACCTTGATTTACAAAAAAAAAAACCCAACATTTTGATAGTTTTGTTTCGTTTCGTTTCGGCAGGTTTCGTTTTTATTTCGTTTCGTTTCGTTTTGATTTCGTTTTGTTTCGGTAGGTTTCGTTTCGTTTCGGTAGATTTCGTTTCGTTTCGACAGATTTCGTTTCGTTTCGTTTCAGTTCGTTTCGTTTCGTTTCGTTTCTATTTCGTTTCGCACTTTACAGGTACCCCAATTATGAATATATACAGCAATCAGAGGAAGAAACGCACTAAAGTAAATGAACATCATTGATGTAAAGAAATCTAACACTATTAAATCTTCAGCAGTGATGCTTTACAGAGTTATCGACATCATTGCGTGTATGAGAGGATGACTTTCATTTCCCTGTTGTTTGATTCTGCCGCAGACGACAATACTCCTGCAATCTGAAACGAAACCTCGATCTTGTCATAAATGTACCCAAAATTTCTTTTACATTTCATTGTAACATGATAATGTGAAACCACATAATCTGATTAATCTCTTAATTTTCTCCCAAGCTAACAAATTAGCAGAAATACCCCTTTCTCTAAAGTTTTCCACAATTAAGAAATGAAGCATGTTACTGATATATTTTTTACCTTAATGCATTGATTTTGATGAAACCACCTGCATCTGTTGGTTCGTAGTCACCTTGCACATCCATACTGCCAAACAAAACAAGGTTTAGAATAAAGAGTATAAAATAAAACGACCGCCTAATAACGATACGTGTTCTAATGATAATTCCTCTCACTCCGTTTCTTATTTTTTTTTCTTAAAGTTTTATTTGTTACAATTTTTTTAAAAAAATGTTTCTTTCCATTCCCTTTACTATTTAATTTATAAGTTAAATTTTGGGAAAAACAACAAAAAAGTAAGTTGCCTGACCTTACGAGTTCTGCATTGTAAAGAGATAATGGTGACTCCCGGCCTAGAATGTACACCCCTCCTTTGTACAGTTTGACAGTGACGTTACCGGTCACGTGATTTTGGCTCCCCTGAATACAGGCGCGCGTGTACTCACACTCTGGACTAAACCAAAACCCTACAAATCAGTCCTTGTGTAAAAGACTTGTACAACTTGTTACATGCCTCTTTACATGTGTCATTATATAAATATTGCATGTAGTTGAGTGTAACATTGAAAATTTTCACCCCAAAAAAACCACTGTCAACCGAGGCTGACAATGGTTTTCGAGGGGTGAAAATTTTCAATGTTACACTCAACTACGAGGGTTGTTCCAAAAAGTCGTAGACAGGGAAAACAGTTTTGTTTCTCTTTGCTTTATTAAGTTTCTTTCCTTGTCATAGCAAAAAGTAACATTTTATGATCATGCATTTCAAGTTTCATGTTGATATCGCATCTTATAAGAAAATTATGAAGAAATAAAGAAAGGATATAAGTGTTCACCGACGCACGAAAGAAAGCATAAATTACGTCTCTTATAACGTCATGGTCTCTGTTTGCTTCACTTGATATTGATATTCACTTGATATTAATATTCAATAATTTTTTAAGTGATAGACGACTCTTGATTAAGGGACATATTTAAATTCACTACTGTCCGTTTGTTTTTTACTTGTTTTTGTTTTTAGGGCAGATTCAAATTCAGTCGAAATTTAGTCGAAAGATTGTCTTACATTGTAGGCATCAGATGATGTTTTGTGGGTGAATTGAGGTGAAAACTTAGATACAGTAACTTTTACAACAGAATATAGTTTGAAAAAATTAAGAACAATTGAAATAATTCAAAATGAGCGAAAATCCTATGTTAACTTAGTAAATGAGAACGGTATTGGATTTCTAACATGTTTCCACTTATAATTTTTCTCAAAAAAATTTACATTGATTTTATAAAGGTTTTAAGGGTTTCCTAACTTCTTAAAATTACTTATACCCATATTTTGCTGTAAAATTTTCCTTTTTACCCACAATGCATCACAGTACCCAAAGCAATATAGCAAGTGATCCAAATCAAGTAGATTTTCGATTAGCACTTTGTATACAGTGGAAATCACCTGTTTCTATTTATACATACATGTACCTTTTCAATTCAAGATCAAACTACATGTATGTAATCATTTGTGGACCAGTGCTATATTTTCATTGTTGCAAGTCTGTTATATGACAATCATTTCACTTGTTCAATACTCTTATTCTAAACAAGATTTTTAGAAACAAACTAGCAGCTTTGACTTTGGGTCATAAAAATAGTTTAGGGCTGTTTTTTCAGAGGCACTTTCAAGGTGTAATGTTGTATTATATATCTCTTACATTATTTATACATGTATTATAAAATAATAAAAGAAAACATAGGAAAAATGCACAGAAAGAGTAGAGGCCCATGGGCCACATCGCTCACCTGAGAAGCTTTGACCATTCTGTCCTTTACCAGATATCCTCCTTGTAATACATAATACATCCCCACCCTACCCCACTGATCATAATTTAGAAATTTTGAAATCTACACTACCCCTGGATCCTTCGATGTACAAAAGTTTCAGCTTTTCTGGCCCAGTGGTTCTTGAGAAGAAGATTTTCAAAGATTTTTCCTATATATTTCTATGTAAAACTTTGATTCCCCATTGTGGCCCACCCTTCCCCTGGGGGTCATGATTTGAACAATTTAGAATCTACACTACCCCAGGATGCTTCCACATAAGTTTCAGCTTTTCTGGCCCAGTGGTTCTTGAGAAGATTTTCAAAGATTTTTCCTATATATTTCTATGTAAAACTTTGATTCCCCATTGTGGCCCCACCCTTCCCCCGGGGGTCATGATTTGAACAATTTAGAATCTACACTACCCCAGGATGCTTCCACATAAGTTTCAGCTTTTCTGGCCCAGTGGTTCTTGAGAAGAAGATTTTCAAAGATTTTTCCTATATATTTCTATGTAAAACTTTGATTCCCCATTGTGGCCCCACCCTTCCCCCGGGGGTCATGATTTGAACAATTTAGAATCTACACTACCCCAGGATGCTTCCACATAAGTTTCAGCTTTTCTGGCCCAGTGGTTCTTGAGAAGAAGATTTTCAAAGATTTTTCCTATATATTTCTATGTAAAACTTTGGATCCCCATTGTGGCCCCGCCCAACCCCCGGGGGTCATGATTTGAACAATTTAGAATCTACACTACCCCAGGATGCTTCCACATAAGTTTCAGCTTTTTTGGCCCAGTGGTTCTTGAGAAGAAGGTTTTCAAAGATTTTTCCTATATATTTCTATGTAAAACTTTGATTCCCCATTGTGGCCCCGCCCAACCCCCCGGGGTCATGATTTGAACAATTTAGAATCTACACTACCCCAGGATGCTTCCACATAAGTTTCAGCTTTTCTGGCCCAGTGGTTCTTGAGAAGAAGATTTTCAAAGATTTTTCCTATATATTTCTATGTAAAACTTTGATTCCCCACTGTGGCCCCGCCCTTCCCCCGGGGGTCATGATTTGAACAATTTAGAATCTACACTATACCAGGATGCTTTCATATAAGTTTCAGCTTTTCTGGCCTAGTGGTTCTTGAGAAGAAGATTTTTTAATGACCCCACCCTATTTTTATCTTTTCTTGATTATCTCCCCTTGTGAGGGGACTTGGCCCTTTATTTTAACAATTTAAATTCCCCTTTACCCAAGAATGATTTGTACCAAGTTTGGTCAAAATTGGCCCAGTGGTTCTTGAGAAGAAGTCGAAAATGTGAAAAGTTTACAGACGGACAGACGGACGGACGGACGACGGACAAAATGTGATCAGAAAAGCTCACTTGAGCCTTCGGCTCAGGTGAGCTAAAAAATAGAAGCGTGGATAAAAACACGCACTGTGAGACTTGAACTCACGAGCAAATATGTCTGCAATCCTACCACTACGCCACGAAGTCATTGTGATCAGATGAATAAATTTAAGACAGATTGTTGAATCTTAAAATAATTTTGAGATGAAAAATTAAATACATATTTTCAACATTTTCAATATGAAGACCACCTTTAACCAAAATTATCTAAATGTAATGAAGTGCAGTCACCTAAATAAAATTATTCAAAAATTGTTTTTCTGGTTAAGGGTCATCTTTTGCTACAGTTTGTCATTGTTTAGGGAGATACTTCAGTATTTACTTTATTCTCCATAAAAACTGAACGATTTTTATATTTATCATATAAGGGAACTATTGATATTTAAATATTATTTTTGTGTGATTTGCTTTAAGGCATGTATAAACTAACATTGTATGAGAAATTTTGGTTAAACAGAGTATTTAAAAAATCACTACTAGAGTAGACGTAAGTGACTATCAAATACGCTATGTCTTTTTAGCCAAACTAAACTTCGACGACGACAAACGATCGACAAAATACAGATGAAAAAATCGAATGAAATCTAGAAATGTTTAATTTGAATTCAGTTGTTGAGGATTCTTAAGGAACACTGTCTAGTTAGTATAGTATGCCAGGGCATCAACGATAGTGGGAAACATGGGATAATTTGAATAAATTATTTGCATAAATTATTCCATGTTTCCCACTATCGTTGATGTTACTGGCATATTATACTAACTAGAAAAAGATTCCTTATATTTCCATTTCATTGTGAAATTAGATTAAAGACTTTAAAAATATAGACATAGATTTAAATTACACGAGGACTCCCGTGCCAATTTCAATAGTCTTCGCCCACTGACGTCAAACACAAATGCAGTCGCATGAGATTTACATGCATATTTGGACTCCTTAGCGTCAGACACAGAGAAAAATTCGCATGAGATTTGCATACATATTAGGTCTCCTCAGCTCCTGACCTATCGACCTGCCTAAATTTACATTCCGGTACAATTATCAAGAAATAAACTCCGATAATTTTCAAAGAGTTATTACAGAGAAAAATATTAGAAATGACAATATGGGTTACTAGTATATTAATCGAAACATTGTTGGTGAGAAGCAAATGTGGTCTGCGTGTTGGAATTGCTATGAGCCAAACTTCGACCTGAAAATGTATTTCAAATGAAATATGGAAATGTTACAGTTTAATTATTTTCTAGGGAAATTTTAACTGCAAAAGTCAGTGTAGATTTGACGGTTTTAACTGTTTTCTATATGGAATATTATCCGTAGGTCGATTTTAAAGTGGGTTTTCTCGACAAAATGGGGTTGCCGAAAGGAATTTAAAGCAATTGGGAAATTGTGTAATTTAAATTCAAGTTTTGTGAAAATTAAGTTTACAACAGTGAAATAATGTGCATTTGTCTTGGATTCATGGACAGCAGATACTGTGCAGACATTGCGTTCTGAATTAACTTAGATTTATGTGTTGTTGTTTTTTTTGTTGTTATTTGCGCATACTAAATTTTAAATCGCAATTAATGTTTATGTTTTTGTTTCCCTGTTGAGCACATGCCAAATGTTCATATTCTCTTTGTTTTAACTGTGCATTCTTCTCCAAAAAGAATGGATATTTCATAAACTGGTGTTTGGGGAGTTAGCTTAACATTAAGATATGTGTACCGATATATACTACCAGTACTTGACAACACAAACAAAATGTTTGCGTTACAATTATGACATCCTCATAATGCCAAGGGCCCCGTATGGAACGCCGGGACTGTCTTATATGAAGATTAAACATTATTTGCAGTGTTTCCTTCATTTTATGCGGTACTATTTTAATTATATGAAGTAGGTTTTACATTATATTGTGCACAACTTACATTATATGCAGTCCTTCTTTCATTATATGATGTAATTATATTATGTTCATCTGTCATTATATGAGGTGTTTTTATCATTATATGAAATGCTTTTAACATCATACGCTGTAGTTCAAACATTATATGCAGTATAACACAATCTCACTCTCCGCACTCTTACTCTCTCAACTCTTAATCTCCACACTCTCTGGCCTCTCTCCCTACCCTCTCCCCCCACTCTTATGCTTCCCCTTTCCCCACTCATCTCTTTCTCTCCTTTCCTCTCTCACCCCACTCTCGCTCCCTCTCTCACCCCACTCTCACTCCCTCAGTCCCCACTTTTACTATCACTCCTCTTTCTCTCCCCAC